CAAGGGATTCAACATCTAGTCGATATTATGAAATATTAATGAGACAATATTGATTTCCATTAACCATATATTCATAATTTTTTATCTTTTAATGTGAATAACTAATAACATTGATGAAAGACATTAGATTTATGAATAAGAAAAACAAAGTATTGCAACTTACTAGAAGTAAAAAACGAACAACGAGACCTTGAATATCAAAGACTTTGAAGGAATAACTAATTAAATTATGTTATTCAAATGTAAATATCTTTTTACTGATTCCGATTTTGCAATAATGATACCTGGATACAAACGCAGTTCTTCTGTTTCAATGGTCTGGTATAGAGTTCAGCCACGTGTTTTAGACCCCTAGTTGGTTTGTGGCCACCATCAGAACCAGGCCTCAATCGTATGGGCTTGAACTGTCTACGAAAACATGGTCTGGCCACAAAACCAGTACATATTTAATGATCTACTGCCTTTTGACTTTCACTTTTGATGTGGCTGGCATCTTTGCAAAGAAAAACGAAACAAGTGCTAAAGTTATTTCGTATTTATGAGCTTGGAAACCACCATCTAACACATCAAAAGATGCATTTGCGAAGCAAAGTGATCTTTCTTAGACCACATTGGGCAAGACTTACTGATACAGAAGAACCATATAGATACACATACGTTAATACAGAGAAATTTCCGCTTCTTTAGGCTATTAATAAACGAGGAGCGAAAGCCGCGTTGTGAATTTCATGGAAAACTTTACCCACAAAATCGTTGCTATGGAAACTTTTGTAGTTACCTTCTCCCACCACATCTGGGGTGAACCCAGCAATTTGTTTGAGATTATAGACTGCATGTGTGTAGTTTGACAGTTAGATTGGTCCTCTCGGGGCATCAGATACAAGCTATAATAACTTGGGCAGTAATTACAAATGCTAACACGTCACATAGACGTCCTTTAATTCACAGGTAGTAATCACACCGTCAACCTCAGACAACAGAAATAACAAAATGTCTCCAAACCTTTTTCTGTTCTATTTCAATTTCAATTGTAAATTTCTAAATAATTTTTCTTAGTCAAAATGAGTCAAAAAGTAACGAAGATAGATTGGCGGTATGATATGTAGACTTCAACCTCTTTAGCGCATAGTTTGACATATTTCGAAATAATTTGAGAATCTTTTCATTTTTTGCAGTCACCTTTGTGTGTACTATTTCAATTGCTATTGAATACCTAAAGTCATTTTTCATTAATTTGAAATATATCAAAGTGAATGATGTTTTGAAATGATTTGTTACAGCTGAGAAAAAAGTAACTGTTTTAAATGGATCCATCAAAATGTATTTCAAATCTTATTGAAAAGAGAAACCACTAACCAGGGTATGATTTGCCACAAGAAAGAAACGCTTGCTTTTTATATTCATTATTTCGCAGTTTCACTCAATTCAACTTTTCTTTGGTAATAACGCAAAGCATCAACATCTTCCAAACGTGTCTTCCAATGATAAAAATAAACGAATGTATGATCTTATGGTCTGTACATAGCTACACGAAACACTTGCTTTTGGTATACCAGCATTCATTATTTCTCAGTTGTACCTTTGGTAATAACGAAAAGTATATTTTCCAAACTGATAAAAATAAACGAGTGTATGATCTCATGGTCTGTACATAGGCACACAAAACCACTCGCTTTTTATGTACTTTATTTTCAGTCAATTTAACTTAATTTATATGATTTAACCTGGTGTTGGTTATAATGAAAACATCAACATTAATTTTCTCAAACACCTAACGAGTGTATAATCTTCAGAGAGTCTTCAGAAATATAAATGCGTTCTATATTTGGTGTTTTGCACAGCGGCGAGGGGTCAGTATAGATTTACAATCTAAAACTTGTGATATTTATCAGTATGGCTATCAATACACTTATATTTGCACACATATGTTTCGGATTTCCATTTTTTGATAATTACTGTTGAAACCTTCTAGAAAAACAACTGGATGTGTCAAACAAAACAGACAGTATAGACACAACCTCTGTCAATTGTTGGAAAGTATCCGCAAGAGTTGCATCATTTGATGGATAAAAAGTCAAAAGATTGTCTGACAGATGAAGTTATTTCTTATTAAAATTCTTTGGGTTGAGTAACTGTCATGAAAACTCCGCGGTAGAACAGCTTGCAAGGCTTAGGAGGGAATATCTTGACTGATTTTGTCAGACCCTTGCCTCAAACTTTCAGCTGTCAGATGCCACAACGATAAATATCAGAAAACTGTTTCTCAGTAAAAAGTCCAGATCAAGGGCCGCATAGCAGAAAAACATAACCCTGAATCTGTATTGTGAGATTCATCTGAAACATACATGTTCTGTAGTGTTTTTGTTACCAAGAAATACTTCTTATATATTTTAAGTAAGAAGGTCTCGGGTGCAAGCTTTTATCACCCCGAATCCTAGTAACGAAAGACGAATTCGTTCACCGCAAAACAACCGTTTCCTAGCCAAAAGGATAAAGTATACACTTTGTACAATAAAACAAACTAGATCACCCATATCTCATATTAGTTGTTGAAAGTATAAGGATTCTGATACTTCTCCATTTAAAGGGAACATTTGTGAGTTTGTAGCTCTGTTTAACATGAACTGATATGATATTCTATACTTGCAAGATGTACTGATGAATATGTTTTATATTGCAGGAGTGAAACGATCAAGGGGTTATTGGCAATAATTCATATTCAGGATCAATGCGTCTGGTGAGGATAAACAAGAATGAGGCATAAAACACAGCAAACAATAACAATACACGAGGACAACAACAACAACGAACAATGACAACACATGAGAACAAGTACAATGTCCATACTCCAGGATCAGAAACAGGAGAGTTGCATGAAAACAAACAAATATCAACTAATATGATGTTGATTGGCATGTTGCATGATTACAATCATTGTTAATGCATGTGAATAAACAATATCACTGCATGGAATCAAGCAAGAGATACCATCAATTTTCCTGCCAATTATATTAAAATAAGCAAAGATATCACAATTTTAACCATTATTATCCAAATCCTCAAAATTAAGTACTCCTAAAAGCTTTTCCTAAAACTCAAAAAGTCACTTCCTGCATTCATATCAGCAACGATTTAGTGTTCTTGATCACATAGATCTCGTATGTTCGTTATTACCAACGTTTTAGTGAAATGAGATTTTAAATAGCTGCTTCTAACAAAGACACGGTACAATATGAACTAGGAATATATTGTCTCTAGAAATCATTAACACTGATACCTTTGATACGCTGAATAAGTTGAGTTTCCTAGACTATATTTGAAACCGGAGATGCAACTAATAATTGAGTTGAACACAAAACAATATTCAAACTGATCAATAGAAAAACATTCCCGACAGATATGCAAATGCTTCTTTGTTATCTTTCATTTCCAATAGCGATATTATTTGGATTTATACATCTCGATATTGCGGGGAACATACCAAATTAATAAAGCTCTCATGGTTGATTGGATTGGTCACCGGGGAATGAAGCATAACCGCAAGTTTATTGCATTAGAGGAAAGATAGAATAAAATATATCGTGCTATTCCCTATAGTTTTACACTCAATATAATCATAAGTGACTCAATTTATATCTATATTATATTAAATCTACCCATCCCTCAAAGAATGTTTTCATATCGGGTTAGCATAGCAAAACCAAGCCATATTTATAGCACCAAAAGTGCTACGTGACCTCATTAATTTCTACAAACGTCGGGACAATTGTAAATAAGTAGCATTATATTGAGCAATAAATATTTCCCTTTACACAATGTCAAAGGGCAGAGCCGTAGTAGTTTTTCTGCCATCGCCTGTCGGTAGAGGCCATTTGAATGAAATATGTGAGAACTTTGGGATAAAATGACCATAATTCATCCTCCTAATTGGTGTGCGTTTATACAGTGCTAAATATGAAAAGTATGACTTGAGTTAGAAACATAAGTACATAAATATGATTAATCATCATTTAGTGCTTATCTAAGCCATTCTATATCTAGTAACTGAATCAAACCAACCTCACAACGTAAAGATTAAAACATAACCGCTATAAGAGGAGAAAAAACAAACACAGATGGAAAACATTACATGCATCTTCACGAGCGGATTCCAAGATGAAAAAGAGGATCAATGGGGATAAACCCATGCTGGATAAAAGCATTTAATTGTCAAGAATTTGGATTAATATCAAAGGCACAAAGGGGCTTACTGTTGTTAAATTGATCGTTTTTATATTCACACGCAGAATCTTACTTAAACTTACTTTAAAGCCAAGATATTTTCAAGTGTTATTAAAAAGTCATTAAACTTTCGGAAAAGATTAAGATATAGAACATAGGTATCAGTGATGATATATGGTTAAGCTACATTGTAAGTCAGTCGTCTGGGTGTCGCGCATGAGGATATATTTATTTCCTATGTGACAAAACTAAACACTTATTTATTGTCGTTTATTGGCAACATCAAAATAATTTCAATTACGATTTATAGTGATTGCTATGTATTATTTTATACTATCAATATCTGTTTCATACAGTAGCATTCGTTTATACCACAAAGACAAACTATAACATAGACTAACATGATTTTGGTATCCTAACTACCCTATAGGTGCGCCACTGTACTTTTATCATATACAAATATGGCGGCTTTTTCTAAAGTAATTTATCACTCCTAACATCCATTCTCAATTTCTATTATGAATAAGCACTCACCCAAATATTAAATAAAAGCCTTAATGATAAACAGTATTAATGAGAAAAAGTCAACAAAACATTTTAACAACGAAAATTCGTTATTTTTAAAAACAATTTGAAAAGCTGCATTTTCAAACTACAGGTGCGGAATAGCAGTCGCATCAGTTCAACTCAGTTTACAACACTGTTAAATGTGAAACTATTCATATGGATTTAATTCATTAAGTTTATCGCAAAGCAATAAATTTTGGATCAAAACTTACCGATATGTGAAGAGCACCACCGGAAATCTACAGTCCTTAGTTGAGAGTGAAGATCCTGGTGCGGGTAGAATCGATGCTGAGCTGAACACAGATACAGGTAACAGTTGGTATCACAGTTTGAAATGGTAGATCCGGGGCGTAGGTCTTGCTCGGTGGGTCGCGTTCCCCCCTGATATCCACTCGAGTATACTGTCTCCTGGCAACAAAAAAGATAGTACGACTGTTAATCAATGTACTGTAGTATGTTCTTCAGTTACCCAGACTTGTCTACCCGTTGAACTTTCCCGGAAATGTTTATACATAGAATAGATCAAGTTCTCCACAGACAACGCTTTATGTTCACTCTCACAAACACATAGATTTAATTTCAGCCTGGCTGACTGGGATTTCACCTAAAACCAGAATGATTGACAGGGGCATGATAAAATATTAATTGCTAGTTTTTGTGTAAAGTAACGCCATGCAAATGAAGTATAGGTCTTCACAAAGAAACTAATTCAAGCACAAGAAGTTGAGATCCCTCGAGACCTCTAAATCCTACTGACGTATCCACTCGCAAACAATGTCATATCCCGCCTCTACATCTCTTTCACATTTACACGACTTCAGAGCAACTTCACAATTTAAGACGCTTCAATGTCAACGAGATAATATTTATTACTTATCAAAGGAATGTCTTTTAAAATGTCTGATCTAAACGAAGAGACATATCATCTGTCTTCGTATGTTATAGCCTCTTCTACAAAATACGACACGTCTCAATTAATGCCTTTCCTCCAGAAATAAATATGTCAGTCGACTAATGACAAAATGCTGCTTGAGTTATTGTGAAATAAAATGTGATTCTAAGAGACATAAATCTTACTCTAAAATGACTTTGTTTCTATAGAATGTCTTCCCTCCATTACATGATTTGGAAATGTTTCAATTCGCTAACATGCAAAAGCCATTTGTGCTTTGTACTCCATATGATGCTGTACGTAGCAATGACAACATTAAAGCTATATAAACCTATAAAATTCATAAGTATCGATACTAATAACTCATTCAGACAATTAAAACTTTTTTTATTAAATTAAAACATACATGGCCTGAACATGCAGCAAAAACAATATCAATATGGAAAAATAAATATTTGTACTCTCCTGCCAAAAATATTGGTTCAATCATTGAGACAAATGCAATGTCTTGCGCAAAACTTCCTTGCATAAATATTCAGGAACAATCTTTCAACAAATATGCCTTTGATTCCGATCCGAGTATGATTGGGCCTGAGATAGACACGAGGTGATGCACACTGACTGCACATAGAGGTAATCTAACCCTTTCCAGGCTAGGGATGATATCTACGTAAGCACCCCATAAACATTGCAGATGAGCCAACTGTGGGAAACACAATTTGGTAGCTTCATCTTGGAGATGACTTCTACTGTCAACTCTATGTAAGCGGGGCGTTTGATCTCACTTCCTTTTGTTTTGACTGCTCAACATCACTATCAGTTTCATGACAGCGAACCCATGCATCTGTCATATTTCTGGGGGTACCGAAAACCATCCATCAGGTTGAATTGGACATCAAAAGACATCTGTAGTCACGCTAAAATGTGTTTTGCCAAGATGTGACAAACATCACACTTGGAGAATTATATTAGGGCTATAGTTTGTTTAGTCTGTCGCAGACTTAGACACAGAACTTCTAAACTTTAGCCCCGAGACTCATTATTTCACGTTTGCATTAAGGGATACATCTAAGGTAGTTTGCTGAATACCTGTATTATCTAAAATCACTGAAAATATGTTACATCACAATTAATCATTTTTGAAGAGAAGTTTGTATTGTGTATGAGTTATTCTCTATTCTTACTCTGCATCAACCGATAAAGAAGCTCCGATTTCTAAAATTATTACGGGAATTTCTTAGTCTGTCTTTAACAGGAAATCTATAAGCTTTATATAATACATTTAACATACGGAAACATAATAGTCTTTCGCGCAGAATCTAGTTTCTGGATTTTTAGATTAAATAACAATTACAATATACATACGGACTTATTGTCACAATACTACAATAATATTAAGATAACAGGGTGTATTTTTCCTGGCTAAACTGGTATAAAATATAAATACGCAAACTTTACACATAGAGAATGGATTTTATTCAGTACAAACTTGAATATTGTGCTGTTTGTGAACACTAAACCTCATCAGACAGTTTATTAACCTGGTCGAATATACTTTGCTGTATGAAAGTAATTGACTTCATGAGTTTTAAAATAATTACACTCACCTCAAAAAGTTACAAAACGATATAATTTACACTCTATATATATCTTTTTCTAATTTATTGTAGAGAAGATAACACTTTGGAATAGTTTTCATCATAATTCTGTCCACACTACCGCTTTAAATACATGTATAAGTTTTAAATGCCTCTATATAAATTTTAATAAATTCTAAATAAAAATGAATACGTCTGATTTTGTTATTCAAGCCTTCAAAATGCTGTATTTACGATGCCAAGAATTATTTCACAAAAAATAAACTGATTTTTTCAAAACAAAAGTTAGCGAGTGGTCCATACATACGTTTCAAAACAAAAAATATGACATATTATTGTAACTACAGGCTGATCAGAAATATATGGACCAAATCTAAGTTCCACTTTGCAGAAAACAGTCAAAATGACTGATTTTGCAATCCTGAAACATCAGATCCAAAAAGTATTTAATTTCAATACAATATCAATTTGTACAAAACAGGTTTCAAACAAGTCTGAGAAAATACCATTATTGATATTTTGCGCTGAAAAGTAACTTTATGTCACCTTTCCAAATATGCATACACTTATGTGGGGTCCATTCTTCTTCACTGCCCTGTAAACATATTGACTCTGTGACGTTCATGGCCAGAAGTAATGACGACACGTTATCAAATAGACCGAATATTTCAGAGGAGAGTCTTGCTCCAAGACTCTGGTCCCCAATATTTAATTTACAACAGGCTGTTAAAGAAGATAAAGGGGAGCAGGGTCCTGAAGCAGACTATTCAGAGTAAAAATACTAAATGTATGCAATCTCATCCTTGTGATCGGGCATCACTGTCCCTGCACTTGGAATAAATTGAAACACATTTGAATCAAGGATGATCCAATATTTGCCGAATCAAATTTATTCATTTTTAATTCAATGCTATTTTTCAAAAGATTTAGAGACAAATAAGTCAATTTAGTTAAGATTGTAATCGCCAATTGGGAAAAAATACAGATAGCATAATCATTTATATATATTGGAAAATTATACACTTTTTGACGGGAGTGTAATACTAGATTTAAATATCATAGAGTTATTTTTTACATTATTATCACGGGAACAGCTGTCTATGTTAAGACACAATTTTGTATCAATATTGAAAATGAATATACGATGATCAATGGGTACCATCAAGGGAAGCGAAATACTATAACAAGATATTATGGTTGATAAACAGTAAATAACACCACATTAAAGAAAGTTTCATTACAGTACAATATACACAAAGTTTGATTTTGACAAGATTAGAAACCTGATTGACTGACTTTTAAAAGTTAAAAAGCCGGCGACAGTATCATTTGAAACGTCCGCCCTATCTTATAGACGGTACATAATAAGCCTTCCATATTTTTCAAAAACATCTCATTTTTCAACCTGCTGGACTTTACCTTACATTTGCGGGTTGATATTGGGTGTTTCTATGTTTTTTCTAATGCTGATATTTCACATCATAATGATAAAAACGATGACAATTTAGAAACACTTGAAACACTACAATACCAGTAATATGGATTTAGATATCCGTGTTCAAATCCTCTTCAGGTTTTACAATAACTGTTTCGAAGAATGCAATTAATGTTGGCATTAGTCTCGAATTAGGAAATGAAAGTTATGAAAATTCCATGCTACAAAGCCACTTATCTTGTAGCGATTCAAAGATGAAATTGAACTTTTCAATTAATAATAATCCGATTGAAGAGTAGCTATGTCTAAAGTAATTTATCTAGTCTTCCTTTGGGTGGCAACGTAAGACAGGGATTAGTTGCAAGATATAGAGAGAGACATGCGAAATTGAAATCACCAGCCAATTGACAATCGGGATCGCTAAATATGCCAAACTTACTGAGACTGAAAAGATAAGCGGTCCAACCGAGACAAGAGCTCCGATCGCTCTAGGATTCTCATTGATTTTATGTCAAGGTTGCTCGGAATTTGAGAACATTACTTAGCGGTCTTTTGTTGACGGAACATTTAATCAGATATCAAGAATATTCTCTTTTCTCATATTAATTCTAAGAGCATCTCTCTATCGCCCTGCATTCATGCAGCATCAGTCAACATCATCTCGGAATTAAGTCTAGATGCAATATGTACTTGTCCTTATATCGTATTTTATTCAGCTCTTAGTGCAGTTATTAAAGTTATCTATCTTGGTGTTTGTATATCCTATCTGCAAATACACCTTTCAGAATTAGAACTAATGAAAAAACCTGTTAAACAATTTTAGTTGTGATCATTTGATATCAAAATCATATTTTGTAAGCTTCCTAACTGTGGAAAATTCATTTCCTATTTTTATATTAATTGATAATTTCTTCATAAAACCATGGAATTTAAAACAGAAGTAACAAAAACCTCTATATTAGATGATTACTCGTGCCATATTAAATGTATTTCGCTCTCAATTAATGTCAAATTATATTGGGAAAAGTATCAATGATGGATGAATTGTAACATGCGCTCTTTTATGGACCTTAGTCATATTTAATAAGTTATTTTCGTATTTTCACAACAGTGTGTACAATTGTGTAGCACTAATGAGCCATTAGAGCTCGTTAATATCATCTTCGGTGAAATTCTCTTCGAGAACCATATTTTCATATCACAGTGACATTAGAAGTTAGTACATTCGCACACCTAAACGGCAATAAAAATGACAGCCTAATTAATTGAGATCTTTATTGCAATGAAAATTCAACCTTGATTTTTTTATTTGGAGATAATGAATCATGTACATCGGGTAGTGAATAATATTTATGGACTCAAGGTGTACAGAGCTATATGCATATGTATAGCCCCTGGATAGAGGTTGTATTGAGGTCTGCAACAGTCTGCTTCAAAACGTCCAACATGGTCTGCAACTGTCAAAAACAGCAACAACGGCAAAATGTATTAATCAAAATTATACTTGGTGAGCTTAGCATGAAGATGAGCGGTTGAAGAAGAATCTAGAAGAACATAAAGGCATTAAATCTCAAGGAGAGGTCTCTACCGAAATCTAGGTCAGCAGACGGAAGAGAGCATTAATGGCGGGAATGAGCAGACGGCAAGGTGAAATTTCGCAGGCAGTTTGTCGAACATATTAGAGTTTACCCTGTAGATCCGGGTTTGTGTATCGTTGTAAACAGAAGCTCAGTTCTACAGGTATATGATGACTTGTTCTAATTCAACAAAACAACATAACATTTCGCTGATCTGAGATCAAAAAGACCGTAGGAATGAAGAGGGTGGATCAAAAATGGCCGCTGTAGACTGCGGATAACCACGAGGAATGACTAACCTTCATCTGATCATACTAGAACTTTCTCAATACTCCAGATCCATGGATTATAACATTCATTTATATCCATTTGGATTTACCGATACTAGTGTTAATTGAATGACCATGGATACACACTGTTTTGACAGGAAGAAAGATAAGTGAACCAAAAATCTCCAGGATTTTGTGTTTCTTTATGAATGTCTTTCAAACGTCAAAGAGGGATATCAAATTGCTGTCATATAACACGTTTGCAAAATATTTACAGAGTCAATGATTTTGTAACTGTTAACTAAAAGAATAAAATATTTATATCTATCTGATTCTTTTGTTTTAGAAATAATCGATACATGAAGTACATGTACATGTCTAAATTCAAATATTATAAATCATCTCACCTCACAAATGAATTCATCTATTTACATTCATTCAATTATTATTTACAATTGTTTTTAAAACGTTTGTCTAAAATATCAAGCATTTGCATTTAATACTTTATTTGAATTTTGCTTCTACCTGAAAATGCAATTTTGCATGTCGCAAAAGGGATTCAATGATTTGAAATGTATAACTGAAAAATGAAGCCTGAGTGACCAAGAATTTCATTAATCATCTTCCTTAGTCTCAATGACCTTCAAATCAGAAATGAAAGCCTAAATGAAAATAAATGGCAATAAAAGAGACACGGTCCTTCAAGTAACATACTAGGCTACAGGTCACTGGAAAAGTTTACTATACTTGTGATTAGTTAATCTTGTTAGAGATAAGAACTAGTTTTTCCTAGTTTACACGATAAAATAGCTGTTTGTAACTTTTCCTTAACTTCATGTCATAGTAAACCTCAATGGATCCATTCGTTAGTTCTAATTGTTACTCTGAGAGTAGTTTATGAATTAAGACTATCATCTCCATTAATTCAATCAGGTAATTTATGGTCATTCGTTTTAGACAGTTTCATAGTCAATTATTCAAAGTTCCTAACTCTTTGCTAACAAGCGCAATGGGGATGTAGTCCCATCAACTAACAATGCTTAGACAGACGAAAGTTAAAAAATGACTAATTACCTGCGTGCTGGCCCTCTGCTGCTTCTCGAGAACAAGTTTGAGAAGTTGTCGTGTTCTATAAATCACTTGGTCGTCTAGTTCACCCACTGAATCACAGAGGTCTCTTCCACGCTAATCAACATTACTTATTCACTTTCATAAAGAGGCGACTGCCTGCCTAGATCTACTAGCATCTATACAGATCAGATATCAAACAATTCTACCTTTCTTATGGTAACGGTTTCATTTGTAAACTTTTACATTGAGGAAGCAGCAAAACTTAATAATAAGTGCTCTAGTTGATTTGACAATTGGCAAGCGAATGGACAATGGATGTGTAATTAGAAAGTCAAGGTGCGATAATTATGATAAAGTGGCTAACCGATACATTTTAATCTACAATGGCTAGAAGAAAAGACATTCTGACAGGCGGTATGATGCCCTGCCTTTAGGGAGATCACAAAATGGCTAGTCTAATTGCTGAGGTCTCTGCTTTGTCACAATACTATGGTCTTAACACTCCCCCACCCTCAAAGTAGTCACTCCCACCCTTTCTAAAGAGAAATGATTATGATGCATTGCTCGAAACAGATGTAGGCTTTTCTGATCTGAACAAGATTTGTTTCAAATCCAAACTCAACCTTCACATTAAACATTTATTTAGTTTTGTACAATCTCTCTATCTACTATACATATTGCAAGGAATGATGAACTTTTCTAGCTAAAGTTATGAACTATATACCAGAAATGTTGATATAGTGTTTCTCATTAATTCCGATTATGGTACCAATTTTGATACTATTTTTAAGTTGCCTTTAAGTTTAAGTTTACCACAATGTTGTTTTCACCAGGAGTCGACACAATATCATACACTTTCCAGAAATTATAAAATGCATGTTCGAGATAGACAAATGTCTTGAAATCATCCATTTTAAGGGAGAATGGCTAGTTTATTACATACCTCAATAATTAATCTTTTTCACACTGCAAACAAACTAGAAGACACGAAAAGGTTTATCTATCACAAACAATGAAATAACTAACGCATTTGATATACCAAGTGTTCTTGCATTTTTGATACGTTATTGATTTCAGGAAAAACACACTGAACTAGACATCATCATTAATATATGATCGAGCAAATATATAAAATCCTTTGGTGAAGTTTGTAACCCTTTCTCATATTTGTTTAATTGATGAACAAACCCAACTATCCCAGACCATAATCCAATGTGTTACGAGTTAAACATGTATAGATTAAAGTTTGACCAAGTTTGAGTTGTTCCAGGTTTTGAGTTTGCTTGAGCTTTTGCAACATCGATACCTTATCAACAAAACATATTATATGCTCAATATTGTGGCATCAATCAATCTGAAATAAACATTAAAGGTATGAGGTTCCATAATAAGAGAGCATGAGGGGCAGAAATTTGAAAAAAAGAAAACAGCAACAACTACAAAAACAAGCAATATTAACCGATAGAACAAGAACACAACAAAATAATCCGGATACTAGCTTCAATCATATTCACAAATGATATTATATCCAATCATATAAATCATGAACAGGAAAAATTCAAGCCAAAAAGCCCACCATACAAAGGCAATCCATAATGGAGCAAGACAAGAATGTTTGATAATGCTAACGTTCGTGATTATTGTGAGAACATATTGGAGATACAATGACGAAAAGACTCAGACGTTGATAAATATGATGTATAGTCCGGGCGAGTATTATTAAAAACGTATATGATCGACAAGCAAATGATTAATTGGGTATTGATATGTAATTTTATTAAAATATCTGTCTCAATGTCTAGAATGATGACATACTGTTAAATCAGCTAATTAATAATGAGGGGTTTTGTCCATGTCACATATTTTTTTTGTTTCAGTCAAAACAAAAGATATTAGAAATCCCCTGGTCATAATAGCTGCTTTGATATATGTTCTCTGTTTGGGTCGAGTTAGACCTATAAATAATGGTTGGATGAGATCCAAGGGCTAGTAAACCCATAAAATAATGACGATAATGGATTCTAATAGGCCCCTTAGGTAATAAACCAAGGCTAAACGTACTACAACGAAATAAGATTAGTTTGATGGCTAAACTACTTCATTTGATAATAAAACACATATTCTTAAAACAAGCAACATTATTGGGAAGTTATTAAATGTAAATTACGATCAAGTTGAAACAATGGTCCAAAAATATCTCCCACTATGTTCTGGAGATGTGAATGTTAAAATCTCCATTGACCCTTGGCATCTATTCTACACTGGTGAATGCTCCAGGTCAGGTGGAACAATTCTAGCGATTAATCTTGCAACGCGACTTAGAGCAGACAATACCAACTTCGAACAACAACAAAGCTCCGACAGATATCTAAAGGAACGGGAAACTATTGATGAGACCAGGTTCTTTCACATGTAAACTTAATGGCCCCACGTGATCCCCAAACAATAAATAAAATTCAATTTGTACACTAACTTTTGTTCCAAGCTGATGGAAAATAATAATACCTATATGCTTCATGTAATATTCTTCCCTCAGTCTCGAGATTTCTAACATGGAGTGCAGACAACTGATATAACGGGTACCGGGTATGGAGAGGTATGATATATCAAAACTTATTATATTTATTGATATTTAATACCATTATCATTGATTCAGATCAATTACGGTTTAATTTGATAATTAGAAAAATGATTGGTAGGGTAAATAAAGCATATCCCACAGGGTGTATGCGGTTGCTGAGCAATACGGTTGACTCACAGGGAGTGGGATTCAGCCTTCACTCAAGATCAAATTCAAGATTCAAATCATACTGAGCGATAATGTCTTCTCTACCCTAGCGATTTACAATCTTCAAGAATTAATTCAGAATTCTGAATAGGTTCGAAAATAAGATTCCCAGAAGACGTTTCATCATTAAATTCACTCCGTTGAGATAGCACGTTTGTTGTTATCAAGAAAGACTTGAGCGCTCGGTAATGCATGAATAATCTTACTAATATAAACCGTTCTTGCATTAATGTCGAAATATCGTTGCCATAGAAACCATTTATTTGCCAGAAATTAGATATCTCTACTAAAAGATGAATTTTGTGATAGTTGGAGACTCCTAAGATTCTAGATGTAATCAGCCATACAAACCTGTCACATTCTGAAAGGACTTTGGCTAATGGTACTTCAAGCCTGTAAGCTAATAAAATACCAATATACCTGGTAATTTTCTAATGAAGTGATTTCTGATTGCAGACACCTCCTTCTTAATGGAAAATCAAACACCAACAATCAATGCAAATATAAGATAATAACATATTCCATCCATGGCGAAGATTCATTTTATTTGCGTCGTTTTTATCTTCTTGATTGTCACAGTCAGTCAGGCCGACCTTATCTTTTAATTTTTAAAATTACTACACACATATATGATTGATGACCTATCTACTCGTGAATAAACTTGTCATGGGGGTTGGACATAGTTTGAAATTAAAGAACAGACTGGACCACCAGGAACAGAGCATGTCGAGCATAGTTCTGAAAGAGATAAAAAAGCTGGTTTTGATGACGATACTGCTTTGGTATCAAGTCGATGCCTCTCACTGGTGATTGAAGGCGACGTTGCAGTAAATATAAAACAGACGTGTAGCTCGTCTACAACTAGTTCACCCAGCGATCTTTCAGGCGTCCATCATCCAGAGAATAACCTCCTAACAACAAACAACCCTCCATTTATAACTGATGCATCTGAAGTCTGAATCTAAATATTTAAAGAAACTTACGTCAAAGGAACCTTCGTGGATGGTTAGAATGTCCTGATATGCGGAGATACTCAGTTAAAATAAACAACTTCCTCTCTGCGTGAACTTTCAAATGATGCGGTGACTGCTTTGCCGAGTCACCTACTTTGCTTTACCCATGAGATCATTTGTTCTGGCTTTCTCAAGATGGTATGTGAGTTAACATACGAGTATGCAGTCTAAACCCCACTTACCCCAAAATCGGTGCACTTTTTACAACCACTTTTGTTTACACACAGGAAGTATTGGTGCTTAATATCCACTATGTTGTTTGATGTTGGTTTTGATTATGAAAGTGAAGCTGTTGGCATGATCGCGTTTCATTTTAAAGGTATTCAACTACTTTTTATTATCATTTTAGGTGTTGAATGTGGCTGGGATTCTAAGGATTTTTTATTGGATGCGTTATATTCGTTTCACATAGCACTAAATCATCTGGCCTTTAGTCAGAGTTCACATCATGTTAAGATTCAAAATGGTTGCCATTTGACCTTTGGGCATCTTTTACAATGAGTTGCGTAAGTGGGCGGAGCCATTCCATTCTAGTTTCAAAATGGTGATTTAAAGGAAAAGCATTTGAGATTCCCACTTATTCCATGAATATAATAACAAATGCACAATTCAAAATGAACTCTTGTTTTATCTACTTGAGTTGTGATATATCCAGGCATAATCCTTCACTATTCAGTAGTTGTTTTGCACAAAGGTCAGAGTTTCGATTGCGGCGGGTCATGGGTGTTTAGAATTCACAGATGTGGGTCTATAAGGAATAGCATTCAGAGATTGTAATCTTCGCTACGGAGTTTGATGAATGTCTAATGTACCTTGGGAGTTTTATCTAATGAAAATTCTAATGACTTTTCTATAACAAATTCAGACCTGTAATAGCATTGTCGCTGTAGTGTTCTTTAAAAAACTCGACGGGAATCTTCAACAGTATTCAACCCCAGATGTACTTTTGTCTCTAATTAATAAGAAAATTGGTGTTCCCTTTTTAACATCAATCAATGTATTATTGAATAAACAAGATTGTTTAACTTGTCTAGTTTTTTGCTATTGTTATTTGCGATCAGAACCGTTATAGCCAGATGGCTTGATAGCATGTATCAAACATGATATGATTTATGGCAATATCATATTTCAAAATCCAATTGTTAAAGAGCTATAAGATGTGTATCAAATATTAGACGTGTTTGGTAACAGATCGAAAATCTAATCCTTTTTAATCTAAAACGATATCGGTATAACTAGTTTCGAACTTTTCAAGATTTTTCATCGTGCTCAGTACATTTAGATCGTTATTTAATCGTTTTGACTTATTTTGCATTGAATTCCATTCTGTTGTTTTAGGGAATGTATATTTTTGTTCTTGTGTTTCAAGTGAATAAACTCATTTATTTAGTTTTATTTATGTGACTTGACACAGATCCTTACATTTGTTCAATTTTTAATCTACAACATTTAACATCATACAAATAAAACATCAATATGAAATGTCAATAATTTATGAAATTATATTTTCGATTCAGCGTTTTGATTGCTATAAAACTAGGTAACTTTGGTTACTTTGGAACTCGGTAACTTTGCATGTTTTGTATATGCCTCGGTGTACTTTTAGAGCATAATTAAAGCTCATGATTAATCCAGTTTCATTGATGGTACATGATGAATACGTTTATTTTCAATGACTTTAAAAACCACCTGAATCTATTGTTAGTGCATCATGCTTGTGTGTTACACATGGATAGCTCATTTATTTACTCATATTAAACACAAGGGGCAACATTTGAAAAACAAAGAGACAATAATAAAATCAATGAACAATATTTGATCAATAGAGAATAAAACAACAACTCAGACACAAGTAAAATGTTAGTACTGTCTTTGACAATGATAATTTACGTTTGTACATTAAATGATTGGAAAAATGTCATGATTTTTTAGGATTAAAACTTAATGCTCAAAAGTTCAAAATACAGTCGACTTTAAAATACCTCCCAATCGTCTCACACCAAGAACAATAGACTCTTGTTTGGCAATGAGTGACATGGATGAACAACACACATTAATCTTTTATATTTAGATTTATCATGCCTATTAAAAAGGCTGTGACATCAAACAAT